TAAAAAAAGAAAAGAAAATTAAAAGAAATATACGTGAGAATAAGTGGTAGGCTGAAACATAAAGAAAGCTACTGAATAAGAAATGAAAAAATAAGAAMMMRGACAMAGAAAAAAATCAAGCATAAAATAACGGCATTAATTCTGTACTTCTCTAACCTTTCTTCTTGGTTTGGGTCCATCTTGAATGTCAAAGATCACATAGTATAACATGAATAATTCATATTTCTTGGAAACAGTTCTTGACATATATAATATTTTTTGCAAAATATATAACACCTTTCAAACCCTTGAAATATGAAAAAAAGAAGTCCGAAACAATTTGTACACTTGACATTATTAAATAACGTAAAGTTAGTGGTCAATACTATCGAAATTTTGGGAAAAACTCGACACAGATAATACACTCAGTTCCAAAAAGGTTGCTGGACTCGTTTTCGCTTTGGAAAGTTTGAAACTGTAAAAATACATAAGAAATTCTAAAGGAATATCTTGATTTGCTTATGAAATCAGGCTTGGACTGTGTATTCCCTAGTACTCATTCAACACCACTGCTATATCGATGAAAAGATTGATCGGCTAATTCCGAGAAACGTTAATCGACTAAAGGCATATCAAATTTAATATTTGGCCTACACCTACAATTCAAACAATCAGTTGAAACCTGATCGAAACGGAATAAAATAACAGTTATAATTAAAGGATTTATGGTAAAGAAAATATCTTATATGTTATAATCAATTAAACTTTGAATTTCTATTAGACATGTACATATGATATGAAGGTGTTAAACGATTTCTCACCTCACTGATTGATCTTCACACCTTTGTGTTTGCTTGGTTCTTTGTAATGTTCAAGTTTCGAAACCCTAATTTACCTCTAGAAGTATTTTTGAACATCAAATATCGGGGAATTACCATACCAAGGAATGCCAACTCATTCTGTTCCCAACCGGAAACGCGCGGGAAGCGAACTGGAAAGACCGCTGGCAAATAGGAAAGTCAGGTCCATGAATTTTGTTACCTCACAAAAATTATCAACAAAACAAACGCTTCCAAGTGCATTGTGAAAAGAATACTTACTGTCTTCCGAACATTACCAATGTTAAACATAAGCCATGGACTTGTTTAAAGATCCTGGGGGAAAACCCCTAATTAATTCAATCGATAATATATTCATAAATACACCGCAACGAAATCAATGAGGGGAAACCCCGAAATCTCTTGCCGAGTTGATTGKCATTATTRTATTWCTACAMCAACATAASAAAACTTGCAGTGACAGCACTTTGTTGAAGCTCTCCACTATCAAAATTTGGATTCTSTACTTWGTCCTGACAASAACATTTGAGTTCTTGTAGGAGAATATGCAGCGAGAAGAGAGAGAAATCATCGTTGATTTGCTTCAATATTTGACAGATGACATTATAGCTGGAGATATGCTACCACATTTAAACTGTCTTACACAAGATGACAAAGAATATGTTCTGTGTGAAGAAAAGAATTATGGTTACAGAAAAGCTGCTGTTGTTTTGATAGACAGRATTCAACGAAGACAATATGGCTTCCAACAGTTGATCAGTGCTTTGATACAGACTGGATGCAAACACTTGGTGAAATTGATTCTAATGAGACAAAATGGTAAATTCTAATGGTTGAATTTTGCCACTGAAGAACATTTTATTTAATTCAAAAGGATTGGAATTATTTGAAGTATAAATATTTATCTAATTTAACCTATGTCAAACATGAAAGTTGACAACTCCCATTTTATATTCCACTTTCAATACTCCCCTACAGAAAACACCATCTAAACTATACTATATTTAGACTATAATATGGCTATTTTAAAGTCACTGAATTTGTTGAAAATGCCAGACACAGTGGCTAAAATTAGACTAAATCTAGTCTTTTCAGTTGAATAGTCGAATACCAACCAATACTAGTATTACTGTAGCTGAACTCACTTTATGTTCTGTTAAATGAGGTATTACCTAATTTATTCAATTCATGTCTTTTTCCAGGGTTGCTACAATCACTTGAGGGATATTAGATTGCACACAACATCATGAATTGAAGACGTTTCTCTGCTTCACAGGCTTCCAAGCAAAACAGAAAAAACATGGGGATTTTGAAAGCAACATTTAAAAACTTGTCTAATTATGAAAACTAATTTTGATTGTCAACTTCATAACATGAAGATTAAACAGTACAAAATATCAAATCTTCCAATATTATTTGTAGAGGAATGACTTACCATGATGATTCATTAATGTCACTTACTGACAAATACATAGTCTTTACAGGGAGAGTAATATGTCACTTCCAACCTTTATAACTTTAAGTGCACACATTTCACAGTTTATAGTAAGCACATTGATTATTTGTTATTGTTCCAAAGTTCACTTGCATTTTGCTCAAAATTAAACCATAATTTTCCTGCGCATCTGCAACATTCTTGTCTCGGAACTTTTGGTATGCCATGGCACAACCAATATTGCAATAAACAGACACCATTGTCACCTTGATGACAGTTTTTTGAAATATTTAGTATAATTGATTTAGTGTACACAAAATGTAGCTCCAAAATTTACCCATAATCTTTACAAAGGATCCATCATTCCTTAATTTTGTCTGCCAAAACTTCTAAAGTTAACTCTTCTGTTACATTCTTGGTGACTTTTTCGCCCTTTTCCTCAAGAATGTCTTCGATATTTCTAAAAATTACAATATGTAAATTAGAATTCATGCCCAAAACTAACCCCCATCCCCACCCCCTGAATGTATAAGTAACTTAATTTGACCAACCTCTTGTCATTATAAAACCATCCAAGATTATCAGCAATGAGGTGATTGTTACTACATCCTGGACACTTAACGATAACAACACCATGATGGTATGCCTGCTTTGAGATTGTTTTCCTCGACCTTGTATTGCAAACCCTGCACGTGTATATCAAGTGGAACTTCTCAACGTCTAGTTTTCCGAGTTGAGCACTTTTCGCAGCTGAATTGTCACAAACAAAACGCGCTGAGCTACGAAAAAAGTCACTTGAATAAGGAAAATCCCTAAAATTGCTCAGAGGAGATATTCGTTTGAGTAAATGTCGTGTTTTCGCACTTCTAAGAGCTGTAAAATTCCACAGCACTCTCGCAGCATATCTCGACGCCATGTTGAAAATGAGCTGCTGCTGACCGTCAAGTACTGTAGCTTCGTAAACAAAATGGTTGCCGGTGTGAAGGTAGTTATTCGTGGGAGTTTGCTTCGGAATTTACCATCGTTTGCACTACGAGGAATGGAGGAAAATCCTCTGGTTAGAAGAAGAACWTCTAGTCKATCATTTTCATCTAGTGGGACACATTATTTGGTAAGATAACAAATTTGAAATGAATTTCCTAAAACGGCATCTTACAAAGAGAAAGTGACGATCATTGATCGATTTTCAATACTGGTATTTCATAGTAAGAGTTATTCCTGTTATAGTTTTTGACATTTGAATTGTTTAAATTTAAGCTTATGATTTATTAGGATATTGTCCTACCCCAACAGACCATATCAAGCACAATGTTCACTTCGACATTCTTCACTAGTCATTCAAACTGTTTTGAAGGCTAGACAAATCCAAGTTCCCGATTTAATTTGATTTGTCTCAATATTTTACTTTTATCTTGACTCAAGTATCGTTTATTGTTTCCGCCATTTGTGGGTTTCCTGTTGTAACTGAGGGCACATGACCAGGTCAGATCCAGGATTTTCTTTTTGGTAGGCTGGTACAGATAGACCCAGGTCCATAGTGACTGACTGCCTAAATTTTACTGGTTAACTGACTGACAGACTTCCTAATGAATTGATACTTTTAAATTGATTTGTTGATTGATGGACTGACTGATTGATTGATTTTATTGTAAGGTGGTGGGACTTGGTAACCATACCATGCCGGAAACACGGCACAGCATTGGAATGACAGTTATCAATGATCTAGCCAACAAGCTGGAAGTAAAGTGGCAACAAAATAAACGTTTTTCTGGTTTTTACGGCATTACACAAGTGAATCAATTAGAAGTTATTTTATTTAAATCAAAACTTCTAATGAACATCAATGGAAGAAGTGTCTTCAAAATAGGTGAGCAACATACAGGATGCAAATCATGCCTGTCCCCAGAGCTCCTCAGTCATTTCTCTCCCTTACCATAGTTAGTACTAACTATGCCCTTACGAAGGGAGAGAAACGTCTGAGGAGCTCTGAGGACAACAATGGATGCAAACAATATATGCAATTTGTGTTATCAGAATTAAGTTTTACATCAGTTGTAATATGATTACTGTCTTCTTAGCCTGTGCGTATAATATTCAACCAAGTCATATTCTTCTTATTCATGATGATCTCGATAAAGTTCTTGGAAAATATTCTTTTAAAAATGGTGGCAGTGCCAGGTGGGTTTTGTGGGATAAACAGAATGTTGCACTCATTTATTTCTCATCCAGTGTTCAACCATTCATTTATGCGTCCATCACAATCAAACCATTATCAAATTCATTAATAATTCATAAGGTAAACACAATGGAGACCGCATCTTTATATGAGCAAGAGATTTGTCCCGATTTGCATACAACTTTAACTTTGATTTTCTCTTAAAAATGATACTTCATAAAACGCCATTAAAGGTCTCCCGCTCATATTTTGTATATTACTTACAATTTTTTTTATTTTTTTTCTCAGAGGACATAATGGAGTCAAGTCAGTACTTACAAGTTTTAAGTCCTGTGTAAGTTGTATACGCACGTGCCTTACAAACGATATTTTATGATATTCGTAAAAGGAAGATATTAAAATACGATGTTGCACTGTCTTTAGGACTTTAAGAGGCTTCTGGTTGGAATCGGAAGGCCTGCCAACAGATCTCAAGTAGTCGAGTACGTTTTACAGAAGTTYACCGATCAAGAGAACGATGTAGTAACTAATATCGTTGATGAGTGTAGTGAACTTGYCCTTAATCATCTGAAAGTGTTTGCATTGGATCAAAACGCAAGAACACTCAAGAAATAATCCTGTGCGGGGTGGGCAGCGCAGTAACATGGAAAACATAAAAAATGGTCAAATTGACAAATTTATGATTCAAATCCAAATCGAAGACTTTATTTTGAAAAATTAGAGATATCTAGTTTTTCTTTAAGCGTTAAAGATATTTTTATATTTTTATTTTCTGTGAAACGCGTGATTTCTGGGAGAACAAGACTGTGGACAAATCCAGTATTCTGATTGGCTAATGAAACTATTGTATATTCAAGATAGATAATGGTCGCATCGAATGAATAGTCGAAAAATGTTGAGAAAAATTGTTCTTTATGGTCCTCTTTCGACAAATTTGCTCTTTGTTTTGTTTGGTASTCCTTCGTATTTTAAATGCCCTCGCCATAATTACGTCATGCCAAAACCAACATTCTGTAAATTTAATGGAAATCATTTACATCAAATTTATAACCTTTAAAGCGCGCGATTTTTTTCCAGTGCTGTGACGTYATTTTGCCGTAAGGCACTCTGTTAATATCCGTGTTGTGATCCGTTGCACAGTCATACGAAATCCGCTCTATTAACGAATGTTTACAGCAAATGTTTACACAAAATACTGAATAAATCAGCTGTGCGACCAATGAGGAGAAAGCAGATTTTAAAACAACCCATCTATTACCGTATAAAAAGATATCTCGTCAGGCATTTSGAATGCCGTATCTAAAATAGTGCATTACATCATCATACATAGAAGAATTCTAGGAAGTAAYTTTAACTGCGTCACTACGCATTTAAGCTTGAGTATTCGAGAAGACAAAATGTCGTCAGGATTGAGCGCCGGATTAGCAACGTTTAACAGCTGTAACAAGGCTGGATCCATCCCACACTTTACACAACATCTTTCTCGTTATCCAAACGACTATCAGGCCCTCGTCTGGCGAGGTAGGGCGCACAGTATCATCGGGAACACTGCAGAGGCAAGAGCTGATTTCCAAAAAGCTTGTGTGAGCTTTGGTGCAAAGAAGAATCTCGCTCAAGCACTTTTAGAGCATATCAACGGAAATATTGCACAGAAAGGTGCTATTCTTCAAAATACTGTAAGACAGTACCCAAATTGTTCAGAAGCATGGAGTGAACTGGGCAGCCATACTCATAAATCAGAGACCAAAACTGACCCTGCCTTAGCATATCTGCAAAAAGCAAGTCACCTTGCAACAGTTAATAATGAGGCAAAAGAGCCGTGGTTTCCCTGGTGCAATCAGGAAATCGGTGACATTTACTACTTTGAAAAACAACAAGTAGCTAATGCGAGGAAATACTACGAAACCGCCGTTTTGTCAGGAAACACTTTGACTATTGGCTATCTTGGGCTAAGTAGATGCGACATTCTAGACGACAATCCTGCGAGGGCCAAGAGATACTTTTCAACTGCAAAGAGCCTAAACCCAGTTCTTGTAAAGTGTGAGACCTTTGAGAAATTTAGTGCTGAATCTCGAGCCCGCTACAATATGCTAAAGTTACAATCCATGTTTCTTGAATTGCTTACAGCATCCAGTGAATCTCAGACAGTTGAAGAACGACAACCATCAAGCTCCCAACGCCAACATGGCGCTACCTCTCGTGCCTACAGATCAGCCAGTGCAAGTGGAGGTGTTTATCCTTCACTTCCAAGTTCAAGCCAGCACACAACTCGAGCTGAGAGCGCCTTTACATCCAGGCAATCGCCTATGGGAGCCCATACCAATGCAATTGCAAGCCAGAGTCGTCAATCTAAAGGAAGAAAAGGGGTACCAGAGAAAGCGAGAGGATACAGTACTGTTAGATCTGGTAGGCGAGGTGATGGCGGAAATGGCGGATCTGGAGATGGAAGCGGAAGTGATGGTAAGTAGTGTGTGTACATGTACAAGAGTGGGGCACAAATAAACGCGGCCTGCAGTCTTTCTCTGGAAAGCAATTAAAGTCATAGTCACTTCAATTTCATCCATTCCTCATGACTGACTCAGAGTATCGACTAAACTTAAGTCGTGAGATAACCATTCGTCCCAATCACCATATATAATTAATCAGTTCACGAGTTGTCTACTAGAAACATAGTGACAAAAAGAAGTCAACTGAATACGACATGCATATGGCTTATGCAAATTTATAGTTATTACGACACACAAAATATGTCGTATGTTGCTAGATATTTTTCTTTTTTTTCTTTTGAAATTATGTGTCTATACTCTTCTTTGAATATGCACTGCAATGATTGTTATGAAAAGGTAGATGACCGTCGTGTAACTATCATATAGTTTTAATTAATATTTGATGATTTCTACGGAGTAATTGTAAATAAAGTTCTCAAAATGTATTTGTCTATCTTTACATCTTCCAGAGGAAGAAAGCATGAGTCCAGCAGAAAAGGCCATACAAACATGGAAAAAATTAAAGAAAGAAGCTCCATCTRGGAGRGAGTATCATRGAATGCAGTTCYTTCAATCAAAGTGCAAAAACTTCTGGTATTCGARAATCGCCTCGAACGTGCGACACGCAGGAGCATTTTTCAAGAAATACCTTGATAGAGGCAACACYATTGAATTACTTTGCTCGACCGATGAAAATCTGAAGGATATGCTTGGCAAGCACGAATCTGGGAAATACGGAGTCATTAAGAAAAGCGACATGAACGGAATATTCTAGAACAAAACACACAGTACATGACATATGCTAAAACACTAAGCATTCCCTCCAAATAAGAGGTGACGCATATGTATATCGGTAGCCATTTTAGACCCTATATTAAGACCCTACATTAAGACCCTATATTAAGAGAAAGATGTTTTGGTGGAGACGATCGTTTGGTTAGCTGCCCTCTGCATGCATCCACCGTATTTCTTGGTAATTATTGCACACAGACATTGCATTACGTATCCATAATTTGTTACTGAAATTTATTCTGTAAAATAGATTTTGTAGATTTTAGTGAATAAAACTGAATCACATGGAAACGTTTTAATTTAATTCAGGTACAGGCAAGTATTTCCCCGTTCGATAGCTCGATTGTAGCTGCGAAAAGCGATTATATTCGGTTGATAGACTTTCTGTGTTCTTTTATAAGCACTTGCTTTCACTCAAGAGTCTTGAGATGGATTTGCTAGCTTTTAAACATTGAGTTATAGTGATCTAGTCTTGAACGACTGGTTGAAAGCACCCTATGACGCAGTTGACGAGAACCGCACATGTCCCGATGATTTTATGTGATCGGCATTACATCATTGATATGCCACGCCCCGMTTCAAGTCGATGGAGGTGAYGMCGCTGGAGGAGGTCCGTCGTGACTAGAAC